AACTGCATGCAATGCACTAAGGTGTGTGTGGGGGTGCAGGGAGGGCCTTCCCTTGCTGCTGCCTGCTGTCAGTGCCTGTGAGAGGGGAAGCACTGGGGGTTGGGGTGGCTTCCCATCATGGAATTTGGGGTCCCTGCAGGCCCCATCCTGCCCTGGGGGTGCAGGCCCAGCCCCTGCAGCGTTCCCCCTGTATTGCATCCAGGCTAGGTTGGGGACCTGAGCCACAGGAATTGCCCCTTTTTCCTCAGGCTGTCAGGCCCAGCCCCATGCTGCGCACAGCAGGGGCTTGGCCTGCACCCCCGCCCCCCTTGGTCTCTCTGTCCTCCTGGCCCTGGTACTTGCCCCTGCTGGAGCTGCCTGCCACCTTCCCCCACCTCCCAAGCACCCTAGCCCCTGCCCTGTGGCTTTTCCGGCCCCTGCAGTGCCCTCTGATCCTTCATAGCCCAGGGCATCGCGAGCTGTAAGGTGTAGTGGGTGCCCTCTTCTGTCCCCTGCTCAGAGTCCTGTCTGGCTGTGTCTGCCCCCCTGTGCAGCTCACTGTCTCCTGCAGCCTTGGCTGCACTTCCCTGAGCTGAGCCTGGCTGGTCAGGTGGGTGCCCCGTCACCTTGGTGGGTCCTCCCTGTGCCACCATGCCCCTGTGCCAGATTGCTGCCCAGGCCAGCTAATTTTTCATCTTACGCTGGGTTCTGAGTTGAGCTGGAGGATGTTGCCTCTGAAGTGGCCTAGGGAGACCCTGCTGCTGCCTCTGTCCAGCATTTGCCCATCTTGTCCTTTCTTTCTGTAGCTGATACCAGTCAGACCGGCCCTGCCCTGCCTGGGCTCTTGGTGCCTGGTCACATGCCCACCTGGCCCCTGGCAGTGCCTGTTCCCAACTCTCAGCACCTCCTCAGGTTCCAGCAGCCTGCTGTGATGCGACCCTGCTGTGCTTCCCACACAGGCTGTCATTCCTCCCCCTGCCCGTGGCACATGGTGTGTCAGCATGCTGCCTTGTTACCTCAGCAGAGCGGGCAGTGGCAGAGGCCTTGTCTCGCCTCTCGCTGCTTGTCCATTGCTTTGTCTGCTCTCCTGGCTTCTTGAGACAGAGCTCCCTTGGCTCCGTGCTCATGGCAGCGCGTTGACCCCATGGGGTGCTGAGGGAGAGCCTCCAGGTCCCCAGGGTGCCTGCCCCCTTCCCTCCTGCTGACCTTTTGTTCCTGCCCTACAGATGACCGCCCCAAGCCCGCCCTGGTGGTGAGCAAGCCCCTCCCCTTGGAGCCCACCAAGTCAGCGTCACCGTCACCCCCACCCCCCCTTATCCCCGAGGTGGAGTCCGTGCTGCTGGCTGCTGTCACCCTGGTGCCCGTGGAAGCCTCCGTGGATGTAGACACTAAAGTGGAGCTGGAAGCTGCTCCGGCAGATGTACACGAACCTTTTAGCGCCATCACTACAGTGCTGGGGGCCCTGGAGCCGCCCATGGATACCACCAATGTGGACCTTGTGGCTGAAGAGGAGGAGGCCCCTGCCATTCCTGTTCTGGAGCCCCCAGTCCAGCCAATGCTGGTAGAACCGCTACCTGTGGTGGTGCCTGTGGCAGTGGCGGTGCCCGTGCCCCTGCCCATGCCAGTGCCGGTGCCGGTGCCTCCCCCAGTGGTGGAGCTGCCCATCCAGCCTGCCACATCCCCCAGTCCCTCCCCGCCGCCCCAGGAGGAGGTCATCTGTGAGGACCTTGCGGAGTCCAATGGAGTCCTGGAGGAGCCACGTGAGCCCACGCCAGAGCTGCCAGCCTGCCAGCTAGAGCCTGTCTTGGAGTCACCCATTGCCCAGCCTGAGGAGCTGGTGGTGCCTAATGGGCTGGAAGTGTCGGGCAAGCCTGAGGCTGAGGAGCCAGAGGAGCCGCCTGAGTCAGACGTCAGCCCCATCTCGGAGCCTGAGGAGGCCAAGATAGAGGAGGAGCCTGCCAGCCCACCTGTGCCACCCTCGCCACCCTCACCACCTTCACCACCCCCTGAGGAGGAGGAGGAGGAGCAGGAGCCTGAGGAGGAGGAGGAGACTGAGGAGCCAGCCGAGGAGCCTGTTGAGGTGCTTGAGCTGCCGCCCCCAGCAGCCACAGAGCCACTTCAGAGCACAGAGGCAGCTGCATCAGGTATGAGGGAGGCCGTTCCTAGGGCAGGGGGGCACAGGGCCTGCCTTCACTCAGCATTGGCTGCTGCCTTGGCCTGCAGGATGGTATCTGCCCTGGCACCACTACCCACAGCCTGGGGAGGGCACCGTGCCGTGCCTTAGAAGTGGGGGTGCAGTGGGAGATCCTGCTGGGCTCTCACATCCCCTCTGCTCCTCCAGTGGCTGTGTCGGTACCAAAGAAGAAGCGGCGCATGAAGGAGCTGAACAAGAAGGAGGCTGTTGGCGACCTGCTGGATGCCTTCAAAGAGGTGGGTGTGTTAGCTTGTCCTGCATCTCCGACCTGCATCCTGTGATGATCTCTTGTTAGTGCCACCGTGTCTGGGCCACTGATGCTCCATGATGGAACTGAGGATCTGAGGAGGCAGGGAGTCGGGCCATGGAGGGTGTGGGGGGCTCCCAGCACAGCTTGTAGCTGGGAGGCATCTCCCAGGGGAGGGGGGAGGGTCTGGAGCTCGTGGGGGTTGCAGTGTTGGGAGGCTCCTGACAGGTGGGCTCATCTCCAGTCCCAGATCATTGACAGCGCCTCGGAGGCAGAGAACAAACCCCCTGCCTTAGCTCCTGCCACGGAGCCTGAGGAGCCTGTGCCAGCCCGGCCCCAGGAGGAGGCCGAGGAGACGTGGGAGGAGAAGGAGGACAAGGTGGATCCTGAGAAAGGCAAGTCTGCGGACCAGAAGTACGGCTACAAGGAAGGTGAGGCCTCAGGAGGAGCTTTCTGGCCTGTGCTGGGGGCTATGGGTGCTGTGGTTGGGGCAGGGCTGTGCCGGGTGCAGGTGGGCATCCTGCAGGGCATCATGGGTTTTGACTCCACTTGAGTTTTGGCATTGTGGGCTTTCTGGCTCTCTTGCCTGGTGGGCAGGAGCTTGAGCAGCTTTGTTGTCCAGATGGTGGGTGCCAGCATGCCCTGCAGCACAGGCCTTTGGGAAGTTCTCCCCTGTCAGGCTGCCTTGGGCTGCCCCCACTGATGGGCAGAGCCTGGCACAGGTCCCTTTTCTTCTGGTGCCGCACTGTGGGGCAGACACTGCCCAGTGCCTGCGGCGCCGAGGCCTCCCCTTCCCCCTTCCTCCAGGGGGTCTCGTGTCTCTCCCCTGGCAGGGCTGGTGGCCGACAGAGAAAAGGTTTCTGAGGGCCTTCTTCTCTGTTCCTCAGAGCAATGGAAGCCCCTGAACCCCGAGGAGAAGAAGCGCTATGACCGGGAGTTCCTGCTGGGCTTCCAGTTCATCTTTGCCAGCATGCAGAAACCTGAGGGGCTGCCTCAAATCAGTGATGTGGTGCTAGACAAGGTCAGTGTCACCTTCCCCCATCCCCTCCCCTAGTGGGGCATGGAGCTGGGCAATTTCTCGCAGCTTCCCATGGGCTCTGCTGTGAGCCGTTGGGGTGGACATGGGAGCGGGCAATGACCTTGGGTGGTGTCCCCTTGTGCTGGTAGGGGCAGGGCTGTAGGGTTAGTGGGCAGTAGCTTCTTCCCTGTGGGGGAGCCTCTGCATCTTGTACTTGCCAGTCTTACTCATCCCATTCTCTGAGGTGGGCTGCCCCAGGCTGCTCCTGGCCCTGGGGCAGCCTCAGCTCCCTTCAGCAGGGCTCCTTCCCTCTAGGGGGTAGGTGCTAGGGATGGTGGGGGGTGGTGTCCCCACCTCCAGGGGACTCACTAGTTTCTTTTCTTCCCACCTCACAGGCCAACAAGACGCCACTACGCGCTCTGGACCCCATCCGCCTGAGCAACATGAACTGTGGCCCCGACTTCACCCCCTCTTTTGCCAACCTGGGCCGGCCCACCATGGGCAGCCGCGGCGGGCCAGTGAGTACCACACAGGTTGTGCAGAGGTGGGAGTCTTGGTAGTCTTACATAGTTTAGATTATGGTTGTATGGAAGATCAGCGCCCATGGGCAGTTCTAGGATTTTGAAAAGGTGGGTGCACAGGGTATGGGGCATCCTCCCACTTAACACAACACATGGGGTTTTTTTCCAATTAAAGAGAAATTAGAAGTTTTACTGAAAAACCAGGCGTGTAGCACTAGTGTTGTTTGAGGTCAAAGCAAAGTCAAATACAACCGTATTTGAATGCACACTGATTTGCTAGATAACATACCAGTTAAAAAAGAAAACAAAACTAGATGAAAATAGTCTGTGTTGATTTTGTTAGTCTTGTACCCATTGTACTTAAACATACATCTCCTATTTTGCTTCATAAAACAAAGTCTAGTCTTCTCAAGCATTTTGACAGCCTATCCATCACTTGACTGTTGTTTCCAACGCGAGTTAACATTCACTGGAGTTTAGCTCGAACTGAAAACAGTCTGTATGGCCGTGGAATAGAAGAGAGAGATTACCAAGGCTAACAGAGCAGAATTATGGAGGAAAGATACTGATGTTCCATTCATTGAGCTAGCCCTTAAAAAAGGGAAAGGGTTGTTAGCACCCAGAGGGTGCAGCTCAAAGTGCCCACACCCCTGTGGAGTGTAGAGAGATTAACAGGAAGCAGGTAGATGGCAACGAGCTATGAAGTCAATGGAGCCTTCATCACTGCCTGAATAGAAATGCCCCTGCCCCTCTCGGGCAGTTGGGTAGAGCAGGAATCAAAGGGGGTGCAACTGCACCCTCCTGGATTTGCCCCTGCTTGTGTCTCGCACCGCTCCAGTCAGCATCTTGTGTGCATGATGATCTCCTGTTAGTGCCATCGTGTCTGGGCCACTGATGCTCCGTGATGGGACTGAGGATCTGAGCAGGCGGGTGCCCAGGGGCCCTGAGGCTGAATGGTGCTGGGGCAGGTTGGGAGCACTGGGACTCTAGGCTGCGGTTGGGGTGAGGCCTCCAGTGAAGAGCATAGGGGTAGTGGCAGGCAGGTACTGACCCTTCTCCCCCCTGACCCCCCATTCCCAGCCGGCAGGGTTGGGCCCCCGGCGTTCCCAGCAGAGCCAGCGGAAGGAGCCACGCAAGATCATTGCCACTGTGTCCCTCAATGAGGATATCAAGCTCAACAAGGCCGAGAAGGCCTGGAAGCCCAGCAGCAAGCGTGCCTCTGAGGAAGAGGACCCTGAGAACATCAAGACACAGGTGGGCAGGGCAGGGTGCAGGGGGTGTGACATGGCTGTCCCAAGCTGGTTGCTGGGGGCTCTGCAGAGCTGCCTCAGAGCAGCGGGTGGTGGCTGGGGCTTGGGCTGGTTCTGACCGCGTTCCCTTCCTTCTTCCAGGACCTGTTTCGCCGTGTGCGCAGCATCCTGAACAAGCTGACACCGCAGATGTTCCAGCAGCTGATGAAGCAGGTGATGGAGCTATCCATCAACACGGAAGAGAGGCTCAAGGGCGTCATCGACCTCATCTTCGAGAAGGCCATCTCTGAGCCCAACTTCTCTGTCGCCTATGCCAACATGTGCCGCTGCCTCATGGGGGTAAGTGCAGCCAGGGCCACCGTACCCCTTTGCTCCCTGTGTGGGGCAGGGACCATGCCTGGGGGGGTGGGGGGTGCATGCAAGGGAGAGGACGTGACTGGGGCTGGAAACCATGAGTCGTGCCTTCCAGCCTGGGGGGTGGGAGCTGGGTTGCCCAGCTTCTCCCTGTGCTGGCCTTGGGGGCCTGTCCTTGAGGTTTGCCCAAGCCCTCACTGCAAGCCTGTGGCCCTCCCTGCAGCTCAAAGTGCCCACAACCGACAAACCGGCGGTGACCGTGAACTTCCGCAAGCTGCTGCTCAACCGGTGCCAGAAGGAGTTTGAGAAGGACAAGGATGATGACGAGATCTTTGAGAAGAAGCAGAAGGAGATGGATGAAACCATTGCTGTAAGTGGGGTAGGAGGCACGGTGGGTACCTGGCAGGTTTGGGCTCCCCCTAAGGCCCTTCTCTGCTTCCTTCCCCGCAGCCAGAGGAGAAGACCCGCCTGAAGGATGAGCTAGAAGATGCACGGGACAAGGCACGGCGGCGCTCTCTAGGCAATATCAAGTTTATTGGGGAGCTGTTCAAGCTGAAGATGTTGACAGAGGCCATCATGCACGACTGTGTCGTCAAACTGCTCAAAAACCATGATGAAGAGTCACTGGAGTGCCTCTGCCGCCTCCTCACCACCATTGGCAAGGACCTCGACTTTGAGAAGGCCAAGGTACCCACACTCACAATATGCACTGATCCTGCTGGTTTTGGGTGTCTTAAGCTGCTCATTCCCATATGCTGCCCCATGGCTTGGACCTGGCCTGACACTGGACCCAGCCCCCCTGGGGCAAGGGGAGGCCCCTGGGGTGGACTGTGCTGTGGGGCTGGAGTGTGGGGGGAGCAGAGGTCTGTGGGGGGGGGGGGAACCCCTCAGGGATGAAGAGTTTGGCTCCTGGCATCTGTGGGGCATTGTTTGCCATACCTGAGCTGTGGGCTGCGGATGGGGTGTGGTCCAGTCAGGCGTATACCTAGTTTCCCCTTCTCCCCTCTCCCTTGCAGCCCCGCATGGATCAGTACTTCAACCAGATGGACAAGATCATTAAGGAGAAGAAGACGTCTTCTCGCATCCGCTTCATGCTGCAGGATGTCATTGACCTACGGCGGGTAAGGTGCCAGCCTTGCCTGGGCCTAGGCAGGGGTGCTGTGCTCTGGTGGGTGAGGTGCCCGACCCTCCTGGGCCCGGGCACCCCTCTTGCTCTTGGTTCCTGGCCTGCACTTGTGGGGGCCTCCCTGGTACTGTGACCAGCCCCCAAGACACCGTGCTAGCCAGTGGCCTTGGCTAGCATGGCCACGCAGAGGGCTGACAGTATCTAGGCAATTGCTTAATGCAGGGAGAATCTTTGGCTGAAGTTCTCTGTGCCAAAGGCTGCTACAAATCCAGGGGCAGGCCCTGGCAGGGGAGGATGCTGGCCAGCTTCCTGAGCCCTGAGCTGGGGAGTCTGGGCAGACTCCCCAGCCTGGTGCCTGCCCATGGTGGCTGAACTCCCTTCTTCCTGCCTTTGCAGAATAGCTGGGTGCCGCGGAGGGGGGACCAAGGCCCCAAGACCATCGACCAGATCCACAAGGAGGCTGAGCTGGAGGAGCACCGGGAGCAAATCAAAGTGCAGCAGCTCATGTCGAAGCAGGACAAACGGAGAGGGCCCCCTGGCCCGTCTTCTAGCAGTGAGTGACTGGAAGTGGCTGGGTGGGGGGCTGCTGCTCCAGGCTCTTCTCAGCTCTTGGCACATCTTGGGGGTCTCTGGGTGCTATGTGCAGGTAGGCCTGCAGCTTGCTGGAGGCAGGCGGGCTCCCAGGAGCTACAAAGGGCTGGGGGCCAAGACCTGGGACTGATGTGCCTGTCCATGCAGGTGGTCGTGGGAACTTGGTGGCAGATGACGGCTGGAACACCGTCCCCATCAGCAAGGGCAACCGGCCCATCGACACCAGCCGGCTAACCAAGATCACCAAGGTGAGAGTTTCTGCCAGCCTCGCGGACGGGGTCTGCCAGGCCAAAGCTGCCTGGTCACATCTGCTGCTGTCCAGAACCATGGCTGGGAGAAGTGGGAACCTGCTTGCAAGGTTTCGTTAAATTGGGAGCCTAATGGCATCACCAGTATCTCTAGATGGCTGGTCAGCAGCTATTTTGGTGGCATTGTCTGGCTTCCACATGGCCCAGGGTTGTAAGCAGGACTATGGGCTGTATTGACTGGCTCGCCAGGGCAGGGTGTCCAAGTGTGAGGCCATGGGAGGGCGCCCAGGGGGCAGCTGCGGGATTGTGGGCCAGCAGGCCTTGGCTGCGTGGACTCCTGCCCACCAGTTCTGGCTGGGCACAGAGCTGAGACCTGGTGCCTTATGGCTAGGAGTCTGGCTAGGTCATGAGTTCTGCATCGGGGGAAGTCCTAGTCTCTTCCCAGCTCCCAGGGTGAGAGCATGGAGTGGGGGGCATGTATCTGCTGACTGGCTACGGTGTTGGCTGTCATGTGCTGAAGCAAGCAGTGACTCCACCCCGCTCAGTGCATTCCCTTTCTCTCCCTCTCTCTGCAGCCTGGCTCTATCGATTCCAACAACCAGCTCTTTGCGCCCGGTGGGCGGCTGAGCTGGGGCAAGGGCAGCAGTGGCGGCTCTGGGGCCAAGCCTGCTGACTCAGGTAGGGGTGTAGGCAGTGCTCTGGGGGCATGTGGGCCTGGAGGTCCAGGCCCCTCCTGCTGCTGGCTCTGGGCTGGGGTCTGTGGCACCCCTCCTCCCCTCCCCTCCTCTCCCCGCTGCTCTAACTCCTCTCCTCTGTGCCCAGGCTCTGATGCCAGCCGGTCGGGCACAAGCACCCTGAACCGCTTCTCAGCCCTGCAGCAGTCAACCCCAGCAGACAGCCTGGACTCGCGGCGTGTGGTGCAGAGGTGTGTGGTGCCGCCTGTGACTCCAGGCTTGGGTTGCCCCTGCCCCCAGTCATGGAGTGGGAGTAAGGAAGGAGTGCAGGGGTAGGGGCCTTGCCAACCACTCTCTGGCCCTGGGCTGGCCTTGCAGACCTTCCTCCACCCCATAGAAGGAGGAGGTCACCTGGGTAGCTGGATTTCATGGCCTCCTGTCCCTGGCATGGACAGGGCAGAGTACCTTGGGGGCCAGCCTGGAGCTGGCACTGTCCCACTAGCTGTTCCCAGGCCCTGTATGCTCCCCCATCAAGTGTGATGGTTGCTCCTGAGATGGGGGGCTGGCAAGGCCAGTGACCCTGTGGCTTGTGTATGTGGGGTCTGCAGCCTTATGCAGGATGTGCCCCAGGGCAGAGTACTGCAGCCAGGGGCAGGGGCATGACATGGGGTCTGCTAGGGCTCTAGGTACCCCAGGAGAGAGCACTCGTGGCCTGGCTTTTGCCCATGGGAGGGAAGGAAGCAAGCTGGCATGAGTGGGGGCACCTGTTACTGGCTGTTATATCCCCCTTCTGTCCTCCCTGCAGAAGCAGCTCAAGCCGGGACCGGTCCGAGAAGGCTGGCGAGCGCAGTGACCGCCTAGACCGGGAGCGCAGTGACCGGGGTGATCGTCTGGACCGCGCCGACCGGGGTGACCGGGCCCGGCCTGCCCTCACCAAACGCAGCTACAGCAAGGAGACAGAGGACCGGAGCCGTGAACGGGATAAGACGGGTGCCCTTGAGGCCGTGCGCAAGGTGGCTAGCATGACGGAGGAGCGGGACCGGAGCCGTGAGCCCTGTGAGTGCCCGGTAGGGGAGGCTGGGGGCAGGGCTCAGTGTAGCTGCCTCTCGGCTGGGGCTGCCCCTCTTGTGCCCCTACTTTGCTCTGATCTCCGCTGTCCCCGCAGTGAAGCGGGAGCTAGCACCCCCTGCCGCCCCTCCCAAGCCAGCTCTGTCAGAAGATGAGCTGGAGAAGAAGTCCAAGGCCATCATCGAGGAGTACCTGCACATCAATGACATGAAGGTGAGGGGCCAGGGCAGGGCTGCTGTGCCCAGGGCACTTGCCAGCTGGGCAGGGAGAGGGGAGGGATGCTTGGCCAGGGCAGGGGCTGCACCGATGGCTCAGATGCTCTGAGGCAGGGTTGAGGCTGGGAGCAGGGGTGGCGGGGGGATCTCTGCTCAGGTGCTGGGGTGTCAGGGTGGGGCACAGTGCTGTGCTGAGCTGTGCCAGGTCATGGGCTGGACTGAGCGTTGCCCTCTGTGCTTGCAGGAGGCGCTGCAGTGCGTGCAGGAGCTGGGCAGCCCTACGCTGCTACATGTCTTTGTGCGCAACGGCATCGAGTCCACGCTGGAGCGGAGCACCATTGCCCGGGAGCACATGGGGCTGTTGCTCTACCAGATGGTCAAGGCTGGCTCTCTCACCAAGGAGCAGTACTACAATGGGTGAGTGCAGGACTCTGGGGAGGGCAGAACAGGCTGCCTTGCTGTGCCCTGAGGCAGACAGGTACTGGAGTGCCCTGCCTGGCACCCATGGCCCCTACCCCCCTTCTTGCCCCACAGGCTGCGGGAAATCCTGGAAGTCGCTGAGGACATGGAGATTGACATTCCTCACATCTGGCTGTACCTGGCCGAGCTGATCACGCCCATCCTGCGAGAGGGAGGCATCCCCATGGAGGAGCTCTTCAGGTGAGAGCCCTGCCACACCCCTTTCCTGCCTGCTTGCCTGTGCCTCCATGCCTGGAGAGCTAACCTGTCTTTGTGCCCACAGGGAGATTGCCAAGTCTCTGGTGCCCCTTGGGAAGGCACCTACCCTCCTGGTGGAGATCCTAGGCCTGCTCTGCAAGGGCATGGTGAGTGGTGGCCCTGCTCACAGGGCTGGGCTGGGGCCTGGGCACAATGCTCATTGGTATTGTTGTGTGCGCTGATCGCTGGCTTTGACCTGCCCGGGTACCCCCATGGAGATGTCCTGACCCTTTGACTTGGAGGAAGTGTCACTCAGTGGAGCAGTGTAGCTCGCTGCAGTGGGGGAGGGATGTGGGAACCTCTGCTCAGCCTAGAATCCATCGTGCCAGCACCCACGTAAGCCAGTGTCCTTGCCAGTGCCCAGTGCCACTCTGGCAGCCCTGTCTTTTGGCTCCCCTGGGCAGTGAGGTTATGGGGGAGTGGGCAGGGCTGTGCTGGAGAGGCCGCCCTTGTGTGGGCTGGTGTGGCTGCTGGCGGGGGGCTGTGTCCTCTGGCAGCCTTGCCCTTGCAATCACTCACCCCTCACACCTGTGTGTCTACAGAGTCACAAGAAGGCTGGGGCCCTCTGGCGAGAGGGTGGCCTGAGCTGGAAGGAGTTCCTGCCTGAGGATCAGGATGTCAACAAGTTCGTCACAGAGCAGGTGAGGTGGGCTGCGGCCTGCCCTAGAGGTGAATGGCATCCTGCTTGGCTCAGGGCCAGCTGCTGCCTCATTTCTGTGAGCTCCTGAAGCCAGAGGACCCAGCCCGGAGCTCCAAGTCCCGTCCCCCCCCCCCAAAACGAGTGCGCACACACGGTGTGCAGGGTCCCTTGGGGCAGAGCAGCCCCCTTCACCATCCTCTCTTGCCCCCAGAAACTGGAGTACACAATGGAGGACAGCTCGGACACACCGAGCCGCAAGGAGCTGACCAGTGAGGAGCTGGGCAAGCAGGTGGACAGGCTGCTGGAGGAGAACTCGGACAACCAAAGAATATATGACTGGATCGAGGTGGGGCCCTTCTGGGAGAGGGCAGGTTGCAGGGCTGGCTTTTCCCTGAGTGGCCCTGCTGCAGCATAGGGACAGGCAGCAAATCTGAGGGTGGTGCTTACTTGTGGCCTTTGCTGGCAGGGCAGAGGGTGGGGCCTGGGGGTAGGAGAGATCAGACAGGACCCCAGCAAGCTGGATCCCGTGACAGCCCTGAACCAAATGCCAGAGAGGAGCTGACGTGGGACAGGTCTCACTGGGTATGACTTGTGCGTACTCTGTAGCATCTGCTGTTGTTGGAGACAGGCCTGATTGTTGTGCGCTAGTGGTGGTGCATAGAATCATAGAAATAGAGAAGTGGGGCTGGGAAAGACCTCCAGAGGTCATCCTGCCCGAGGCAGGATCAGGCCTATCCAAACTAGTCCAAACATCCGTAATCTAAACTCTGTAAAACTACTGTCAACCCTGACACAACATGAGACATCACAGCCAAACCTGCCACAGGTAAGGCAGGGGGAACCACAGCAGCCAATGTCCTACTGCTGTAAAAGGTTGTTAATATACACTCAAGAAATCCCAGGTAGAGGCCCTGCTCCTGTTGCAGAGGGTCTGTCCCAGTGATTCTCAGCCAGGGGGATGCAGCACAATGGTAGCATTGTTAGGGGAGAAAACGTCACTCATGCAATAAACCTAGAGATTTCACCCAGGAACCACCCTGACCTGCTGCGGGCTCTGAGGTCTTTGCAGACAGAATTGCTCCAACACTTTTCTGTAGTTAAAAAAAAACAAGTGACAACCACAAGCTCTGGCACTTCTTGAGATGGCCTCAAGTGTGAAGAGGTGGAGAACTGCTGGTCGGGGCTCCCCCTTGGTGGTTGGAAGAAAGGAAGGAAGGACACCCCCAGCAATACAGGAACTAAGTTGATGGGACAGGCAGAGAACCAGTCTGTGGAGCATGGGTTGTGGGGTAATGACCAAGAAGCCGAGGGAGGGTATCCCACAGGGAGTCCAGCTAGTTCCTGTTGCTTCTTGCATGTGCAGGGCAAGAGATTAGGCAGCTGCTGCTTGTATGGTGCATGCAAGGGCCTCCTTGGAGCAGGACAGGGGCAATTATGGGGTGACTCCCAGCTGTTTTGAGCCTTCACTGCTCTGGCTGGGGGGAGGAGAGGGGCTGGAGGCTCCCTTGATCTGTGGGGCCTCATCTGGCTGCATCTCTCCACCAGGCCAATCTGAATGAGCAGCAGGTCTCGTCCAATGTGTTTATCAGGGCCCTGATGACATCCGTGTGCCATTCAGCCATTGTCTGTGAGTTTGGCCAGAGATGGAGGTCGGGGGCGGGCCTCAACCCTGCCCTACTAGGGCAGCAGTGGGGTGCAGGGGGGGGACTCCTAGGAGGTGGCAGGACTATCCTGGGGGGTGTGGGGCAGGACCCCCCAGGTCTGTGTCTCAGGTGTTGCCCTTGTCTACCTGTAGTTGAGAACCCCTACCGGGTGGATGTGACTGTGATCCACAGCCGGGCCAAACTGCTGCAGAAGTACGTGACCGACGAGCAGAAGGAGCTGCAGGCCCTCTACGCCTTGCAGGCCCTGGTGGTGAAGCTGGACCAGCCTCCCAGTGAGTGACTGTGCAGCCTGGGCGTGGGGGTGGTGGGTGGGGGGCACCTTGGTTCCTGCATAAGGGGAAGAAAGGGCCTTTTCTTCCCAGGGGGTGACCAGGCCTCAGGATTTGGGAGGGTTGCTTTAGTTGGTTTGTACCCAGCCAGCACAGGCCCCTTGCACAGCTCAGGCCCCCTGGTGCATCCTGGCCCAGTTGGCTTGGGCCCCTTGATGCAGTTCAGGCCCCCAGTGGCTGGTGTGTGATCTGAGAGGATCCTAGAGAAGTGGGGCTGGAAGGGACGTCAGAGGTAGCCCCCTGCTTGAGGCAGGATTGGCCCTGTCCAAACCGTCCCATGTAAACCTGTGATCTAAACACTGTAAAACTACCATCACCTCTGACAACACATGACGTTGCACCCAAACCTGCTGCAAGAAGGCAGGGGGACCACAGCAGCCAATGTCCTGGGGCTGCACAAGGTTAATGTAGGCTTAAGAGATCCCAGATAGAGGCTACACCTCCACTACAGAGGAAGGCAGAAACCTCCCCAGTCCATATTGGTCTGCCCAGGGGGTAAAATTCCTTCCTGACTTGAAATGTGGTGTTGGTCTAACCGAGTGGAGGGGAAAGACCCTGTAACTGGGGCTCTCCAGCCTTGGTCCTAGCAGGAGCATTGGCACACCCCAGTCACCACTGCTTAAAAACACCCTGGCATGTGGCAGAGAACGGGAGGGGGTGGAGTTCCCTCTGTGCCACATGCAGCGACCAGCAAAGAGTGGCATGGGCCCCTTGGCAGGTCCTGGCCCAGCCAGCGCTGGGGTAGCCCCAGCCGGGCTGCGATGGCGAAGGGCCCCTGGCAAGTGGGTGCCTGGCAAGAGCCCCTGACCCTGCTCCTTCCTTCCTCCCAACTCCGTCCCTGCAGACCTACTGCGAATGTTCTTCGATGCCTTGTACGATGAGGACGTCATCAAGGAAGAGGCCTTCTACAAGTGGGAGTCGAGCAAGGACCCGGCCGAGCAGCAGGGCAAGGGTGTGGCACTCAAGTCGGTGACGGCCTTCTTCACCTGGCTGCGGGAAGCTGAGGATGAGTCTGACAACAATTGAGGAGTGGGGCCGGGCTTGCCCCCCGCCAGCGCCGGCCCCGGGCGCCCGGACTCTACTGTGGCCTGGACTCTGGGGCGCGGGGGCCGCCCGCCCACCCTGCAGACTGCTCCTCCTTGCCCTCTTGGGCTAATCAATTTTTTTTTTTTTTTGTTCCCAGTTTTTTTTTGTTTTTATTTTTGTTTTCTCCCTCATCTCCCTGCCCCTGAGGCCTATATTGGTTTGTGTCTGATGGAAATAAATGGATGCTGAAGGAGGCGGGCATTGCCGCGGGCTCCGTGGCCCCAGCCCCAGCTGGACCGCAGCGCGGGGTGCCAGGCCCCACATACTCATGTCTCCCGGGGGGGGGGGCAGGGAAGGGGTATTATTGCCATCCCTCCCCCTCCCCCCTTCCCCTCCCTCCTGACGTCTTGCAGAAATATAGAGAGATTATATATATATAAACTTATTGGATTTGGGGGCAGGCCAGTGCTACAAATGACACCCCTGCCCCTCCCCCTGGATCACAGCCTGGGACAGCACCTCTGCCAGATGGGTTGGTTTGGGTTTTTTTTTTGTTGTTGTTTTTTTTTTAATTTTAAACGGGAAAATAAATCATTTCAAGCCCCTTTCTCCCTGC